ATTAAGTCCTCATTCCAGAGCTCTCCGAGCTTCTGAAGCATCCAACCGATCGTCCAAGGTCTTTCCAGAGACTGGCTGGGACAAAAGTAAAAACATGCACAGAGACTCCTCTAAGCCTCCTTCCATCGATGAATCCACCTCGATATGGTTTCTCGTGTAGCAAGGTCTTGCCACACCAAGTTGCAACGCATCTGCAACCTGCGATGCTGCCACAGCCACAGGACATATCTCATCTGGCTATCTGTGGGAAGAACTCTCCCAAAGACCTCAAAACCAGCTTGAGGTACGAGTCGCACAGCCAGGCGGCTTGCCAGCTCGGGCTTCAAACCCGAGAGCGACAACCCCTCACTTCGGAGACCCTGCTTGATGTTGTCCACAGTCATCAACATGACCATGTCTCTACAGAGCCGTCCCCTGTCACTTTGTCGCAGCACTTCGTCCTGAACCGACGACACCTCGCTTGGCACACTCTGGACGCTCGAAGCTGGCGAAGGCTGAGGCGGGATCTCGCGAGAGGCTCTAGGAGGGCTCACGTCCCTCACAGTCGTGGAGATGTCGGTTTGTACACCTCGTGATTGCGCTTGTGCCCCGCCCAAAGCTCGATCCACAACCTGTTGAACACGCTCATGAACAAGTTGACTGGCGGTCTCCGAGGCCCCAGACCAACGCCTGTCGATCTCGGCCTCCGCTGCCAGGCGCGCCAAGTCGCGCAGCCTTTGGAGGTTACGACTCCTCTCGGATTGAAATAGCCGTCGAGCACACCAGGAGCGCACAACCTTCAAGATCTCCCAGCAGACCACCGCCGCGAAACATGACAGCATAAGCAAGAAGGAAAGCTCCCAAGCACCCGCCACTTCCAGCGGCTCTTTCTCCGTGGCCTTCTTAGCCTCCACCGCTAAGGACTGCACAGCCAACATCGCACAGAGAACAACAGTCAAAGTCACCAAACTCATGACCTTACGCTGATTCAGCTCAGGCAAGCCTTGCATATTCCACAACTGCAGCAAGTCCAAAAGGCGAGCACGTGAATGAAGCTTCGTAGGCAAGTCTGCTAGCTGTCGATCTCCAGGAGTATGCTGGACATTAAGGAGGCCCTTTGTCACACGCTCAATAGTATATGAGAACCGAACTCTTAGGTGCCTTGTGCGCCATGATCCAGGGGAGCCAGCTAGAATACCCCCAGCAGCCGTGTTATCAATGCACAAAGTTGGGGTTCCCTCATACACATCAAGCTCACGCA